TATTCATTTTTTTAAATTGCATTATTGGTTATCCTACGGAGACACTATAATGGTTTAAGGAAAAAAAGAACTTTTGAAAGAAGTATTAACTTATAAGATAACTTTGCTGCTAGAATCCTTCATGCTAGATTGACTAATATAGGTTCCAATAATGGATTGAGAGTAGTCCAATGTTTAAGAAAAAACAACTCAAAGAACCAACATATTACTACTACAATAACTATAAATGTAGTGTAGCTTAATGAACAACTATTTTCTTAGGTCTTGACTTTGAAAAGAAAAAAAAATTAAGCTTTATGATCATTGATGACTCGCAAGCTATCCAAAAGTAAAATACTTTCTAATTCCCTTTATTACTACGTCCAAATTTTCAAATAGTGCGAGAGAATTGATTCACATACTAAGTAACTATAGATTGACTTGCTTTGCTTGATTTTTGCTTCTAATTATAAAAATCTTGAGGTTGATAACAAAAATGTGAAAGAGGACGATGATGTTCCATTAGTTTTTCTCATGATCAAGTAAAGAGGAAAAAAAGCCAAAGACTAAGTATGATTCTTTTCTTTCCTCATTCAATGCATTATTTTCCACCTATTTCTAGAAAGACTTCTCTTACTAAAATTTTTAATTTTCTTCTTTTCTATCATGACCCCAAGAGTGGGATATGATTAACACAAGGGTCGAGGGAACCGTGAGGCCCTCCTTTACCCAAACAAGCCTCGGATACTAAAAGAAACCTCAAATCGGATTAAACTTGTATTATAGTCTTCGAATCAATATCACTCAAATTATCATTTCCAATCAACATTATCATAACTTAATAAACATTTCTTTCACAACCTCAATATAATTCATAGTTTAATATCCAAAAGCAATATTCATAATTCATTTCCTAATGCACCACCTACAGTTATAACTACAAAGCATCTATGATAAAACAAATCAAAACAAACATAGGTTCTAAGAAATTTGAAAGGAAATGAGTAGCACGATCAAAATGTTGACTTCATGAAAGACAACCCAAAAGAAGCAATGACAATCCCTTAATATCTTGCAAAACTGAAATAATGAGGGGTGAGCAATTCACAACTCATTGAGTAAATATTATATAATATACTAAAGGAGAAAAATGAACTAAGGATGATATTTTTAAATCTATGTCAAAATGCAATGCTCGTTGCTCAACCTCATGCATATCAAAAACACATATCATATCACAAGTTGAATGGTTCAATACCATTTAGTGTCAAATCTCCACAACATTTGTACATACATATATCATGCTCATACAAAAACACATATATAGGTTTTATACACACTAGAGTAATAACGTATCATTGGGTGTGAACACCCAAAGGTCACACCCTCCGTGACTAGGTTTTCACATGTTGACTAACATAAAGTCTAACACTACACCTCTTCTACTAGATGGAGTCTCGTATCATAGAGCTTAAAGGCTACCCCCACTAGTAGCTAAATTCTCTAGGATCTCAAAAACATTTTCGAAAACCAAAAATGTTTATCAAATTTCAAGTCAAAATTTTAAATACCATGCATGCATTATCATAAAATACACGTATACTCAAAATAACGAACATAACATATACATGTTCAAATCCAAAAACACATATTAAATCATTCACATTTGTTCAACATATAGAAATCTCTTTTCAATTCTTATCAAATCATTTTGATACGAAAAACATTGCAAATATTAGAACATTCGTTCCCATCTAAGTTATACTAGAATGCTTATAAATCATTCATAACAATGATGCATGATGGATAAATCAAGAACTTTAAAACATAGTACAAAATATAATATCTACTTACGAGTACAATTGCGGAATCAAATGAAAATCAAGATAAGCTGGGATGTAATTGCTCGTTCCGAATAATCTAGCATCACAAAATGATAGATCATCCATTAATACCACATAATAAGGAATAATCTAAACACCGAATTATTCTAAAATTTGAAATATAAGATTGTCAAATAAAAACAAAATTAATTATAAGAACTCGATCCGATAATCTAACTAATTTCTATAATCCCTCAATTGATTCTAAATAGTCATCTAATCACATTTCATTGTTAATCTTTAACTCATTACTTAAATAATTAACCTCTAATAAATCAATCCTTAATTTGATTAAATGATAAATTCTATTCTAATTCATCCAATAATCACTCTATTCATCTTTAGTTACACTTTTATAATTTAATTCCTCATTTTTTTTTTGAAAATTCTTTTCAATTAAAACCTAAATTTGGATTTGTCACTATTCATCATCTTCAACCTCTTAATTTCTAAAATTCATTTGATTCCACTTTAAATTAACTTTTTATTTCACTTACCGAAGAAAATTAAACATCATTTAAGTCAATATAATCTTCTAGAATCATTTTTTTTCCAAACGAGTCAAAACCCTAACCTTAATCTAATCAATTCCTTAAGCAAATCACAATCCAAAGCTACTCCAACTCAATATCATCATTAACTATACATAAACTTCACGGTTTAAAGATCAATGGATCAAAAATTTTACCTTTAAATTATGCTCTTCAAATCCTAAATTCTTCCTAACTCTTTAAGCTTCCAAGCTCCAAACTAGCTAAACTCCACTTAAATCAACTAATTTATGGTTCTCCTAAGCTAATTTAACAAGGAATTAGCTTAGGAATCAAAGAAGGAAATTGGGACAAAATGGGAGAGAAATGGCGTGAGAGAGGGAGAGGAGAAGTGGGGGAAAATCTTAAAAAAAGGGCGAGTTATTGCTCTTTTTATACCAATCTCATTTTTTTCGGGTTATTACATTTTCGTTTCTCATTTAATGCATTTTTTTTTTGCCTACTTCTAGAAAGACCTTTCTTAGTAAAAATTATTTTTTCTTTTTTAGTTTCGGAAAATTTTTCTCTAATAATCAATGAACTTTGGATCTTTTTCATAAGCTTCATTCTACGTTTGCACCATAAGCTTCTTTTATTTGATGAGTTATTGAAAATTCTATGTTTCATCTTTATTTCTTCAAAAATTGTATTTCATTGTTTATATTCAATTTCTATAGTCAATGTATTTTTTATGTTATTATGATGCTTTTCTTTTGTTATGCTTATTCATTTTTCAATTGTTTTCACAATTATCTATCGTGTAATTTTTGACATGTGGACTCCTTTCATCTTATTGTTGGTAAGATGTCTTGATGTTTTGCTCATCATTCATGCTTGATTTTCTTTTTTGCATATTAGATGGGTTATTGGCTTGGTTTTTTGTTTTTGATTCCGAACTACCGGTGTAGCATGGATTTTAGTTTTATTTTTTCCTTTTCAATAGTTTTTGGAATTATACAATTTTTTGCTTCTTTGGTGTTGTTGGATTGGTCCGCTCTATCAATTTTCACGAAAGCTTTATCAATGACATGCATTCAATTTGATTGTAGTTCATAATTTTTTTTTATCAATTGTAATTATCTTTTTCATGTTTGCATATTGTTGTATGATTTATGTTGTCCTTACAATTTTTTTTTTTTAATTAGACAAGAGTTTCTCTACTGCTTATACGTTGTCCTTGCAATGAACTGGTGGAGATATAAAGGCGATGCTTAATAAATAACTATTATAAAAATTATTTAACCACTTTTAGTTGTTAATTTATTAAGTCATAATTAATAAGTAGCATTAAGATCTATGTCTAATTTTTGTTATGATAATAAGAAGTTGAAGGAAAATAGACCTATATTTATAATAATAAGATATTGAAGTTTGATTTGCAAGAATTGTATTTGAACTAATTTTAAGTTGTGCAGTTTATGAAAGCATTTCTTACTTTGATTACTAGAGACTTACATTGATTTAAACAATAAGGAGTTTTTATGGTTGGACTCGATTTTTTTTTGCCAAATGATGTCAAGGGTGGTTTTCTATTGTTTTCATGTTACATTATTGTTTTATCCTTTCTAAAATGAGTGTGATTGGACTGACAATAAAAAATGAATATTGAAATAAATATTTAACTTGATATTTTTGTTTACAGCTACGTTAAGGTTATATGTAGCAATAGATGCTAAATAATTTTCCAGTTGCATGTGTAATGTAGTTGTGAAATTTAGTTGTTATTCTAATAGTTTAAAAAATTCTCTCTCTCATTGCATTCTATTTTATTACCTACAAACAATTGTGCTTACCGAGTACTTTTAGTATTTTAAGCTTGCATGTTTTGCATCATCAATGCATGAAATCTTTAATACTAAAATGATGTACATTGTTGCCATTGACCATGTAAAAATATAATTAAATATTAAAATTTATACGTTTTAACAATATTTCGCTCGTAATGCAACGTGAGTAACAAACTAATCGACTTTACTATATCCATATCAACTACTACAGTCGGAGGACCTATCATTAGTGGATCGTGGAATCCATCGCTTATAATTATATGTATCCCTTTTAATAAACCTTTCATTTTTTTTTTCTGTATTAATGAACGAAATGGATGAATGAAAAAAAAATATAAATAATAACTATCCAAAGAACATATTTTTCATCTGCTCACTATAAGGATTTCTACAAGCAAAAACTTGCCTTTCGAGCAAATAATTATCATACACATTGGTTTTATTATACTGCTGCATGAAATGTTTTCTGTGTTCAGCATTGTATATAAAAAAAACTAAACTTATCACTGCATATGGGGTACTCCTTCGCTGCTTCGCAGCACAGCGCACGTAAAAACACTGTCTGTTTAAAATTTGAGAAAAAAAAAAGTAAAAAAAAGGGATCCTACGTACCTGGGCTCAGCAGAGATTTCAAAGCCCATTCATCCGGTAAAAGGGCCACGGCCACGGCCTAATATAACAGCAATTATTAGAAACCAGAAAGAGAGAAGAGAAACCCTTCGTCTTGTTTTTGGTATTGGTATTGCAGGAAAAAAGATATCGTCCTTTTTATTTTTTCATCACCAGGAACAGAAAAATCATTCAAAGAAATAGGAGTAGTAATGGCGGCAAATGAAGCAGGCATTGAAGGAAGCGTAACAGCAACAGCAACGGAAGAGGTGGTAACAGAGAAGCCGCAGCCGCACAAGCTAGAGAGAAAGTGGACCTTTTGGTTCGATAACCAATCCAAACCTAAACAAGGCGCCGCCTGGGGCACTTCTCTCCGCAACGTCTACTCCTTCGATACCGTCGAAGAATTCTGGTGGTATGTATTTCCTTTGTTATATATATATATATATATGGCTAGATCTACCTTTGATTTATTCTATTTTTATTTACTAGGGTTTATTTAAGATTTTTGTAAAAGTTAATGATTTTAATTTTTAGATAGGGTTTTGCTTAATGACTAATTCAATAATTATAAATGGAAAATTGGAAAAAATTTTGGGTCCAGTTTGTACGAACAGATATTTAAGCCAAGCAAGCTGCCTGGAAATGCTGATTTCCATTTATTTAAAGCTGGGATTGAACCCAAATGGGAAGATCCAGTCTGTGCTACTGGAGGCAAATGGTCTGTTACTTCTAGCAGAAAATCCAATTTGGATACCATGTGGCTTGAAACTGTAACCATCTGACTCTCTCTTTAATTTGTGGTGTAGATACCTTTGTTAGTAATACAACATGTATTAGCATAATTTTGATTCGTGCGCTATTGAATAAATAATTGGACAGATGATGGCATTGATTGGGGAGCAATTTGATGAAGCTGACGAGATATGTGGCGTGGTTGCGAGTGTGCGTCAGAGGCAGGATAAACTTGCTTTGTGGACTAAAACTGCCGCCAATGAGGCTGCCCAGGTTGTTATGCTATCTCTCTCTTTCTCTTGAGTCAAAGTATATATAATTGACACCTGTGAATTTAGATAATATCTTTCAGCGTTTCAATTCTGTATGCATTTCATCGAAAGGTGTGCGTGGCTTTCTGCCTACAGTGAAGTTAAAATTTCTTCTGCATTCTCCGGTTTCACTACCAAGCTTCTGTCTTGTCTGGCTTCCCTTGATCCAAAGACCAGGAAAGAAACATGTGGTTATTTCTCAGGTTGGGCTGAACATAGAAGAAGACTCACCACTCTCTCTCTCCCTGGGAGGGAATATCTGAGACTAAATACTGCTCCGATTAATATTTCTAACTGATTAGATTTTGCATGTGAACGGGGATCTTGTGTATCTTGGTGGTGAGGTTATATGGTTTCTTGTCTTGACAAACATCGATGAATGTTTACTTGGCAATGGCTGATTTTGTAATGGCTATCCGTGTAAGTAGCCCATGGGTGACTAGCAATCGTTTAGGGTTCTTTCTTTGTTTCGGTGACCGAAAGAACACAAACTGCATATAGTTTGTTGCACGTGTGGATGACTGTTTATCTAAAGCACATGAACCGTTTGCCATTTCTAAATGTTGTCATTTGGTCTGAATGTACTCAGAAGAAGAATTCTGAGTATTTATGAAGACATGGATGCTGTTACTGAGATTACAGTGATTAGTTGATTCAGTTTAGAGTGCCCATGCTCAGATTTTCTCCTGCCCACCCCTCTTCAAAAAAAAAAAAAAAAAAAAGGCTTAGATTGCTGACTTCCATTACAATCTGATGCTTCTTTCACTTTTGCTCACACACACACAACGTATGTGTAAAGCTAGCTAGTTAGGCAGTGATTGGATGGCTGTTTGGTCATAGTTAGGCCGTGATTGGATGGCTGTTTGGTCATACACAGAAAATTTTGCTCCATTTTGTTTTATTTGATGCATTACAGTTCCTGGAACCCCCTTCCTCGCTCCTTTATTTTTCTATGTGGTCTTTTCAAAGTGTCAAAAAATTTCAACAGTGATATTCAGAGTGTTCCGGGCTGGTGGGCTGTGGGATACTGTGGCATTATAAATGTGGTCTCATGTTCTTGCATGTTGACATTCATTTGCTATCCACCTTATCCAAAATATTGATTCAATGATTTTCATTTGAGTTCAACTCTAGCCTGTATGAAATAACTATGGATCCGTTACCGCATAGCTTAAACAACAATATATGTGATTTTTGGCTGTTTTTATTGTCAAAAAGAAACTTTCCTTGTTGACAATTTTGCTCTTAGGTAGATTTTGAATAGAGACTTCTAGTTGGGATTTAATACAATGATTCATTAAGTTCTAGTGACAACTAGTTCCTCTGATCTCCTATCCTTCTTTGCCCTAATTGTTTCAGTTCTCTGTCTCCCCAAATGCTTCATATTTACGAGTTACTGCTCACCTCAATTACTTGGAAGTTCTGGAGCCTTCACCTTACTCTGTTTTTTCCCCAAGCGTAATAACCCAATGACATTTGATTTTTGTCATGTAGATGAGCATTGGCAGGAAGTGGAAAGAGATCATTGACGTCACTGATAAGATCACCTACAGCTTCCATGTAATCTTTGCTTTGTGGTACTATATGATTTTAAGAAAATTTACTTCTTAAACCTTACTATCTTGGTAACTGCAGGATGATTCCAAAAGGGAAAGAAATGTCAAAAGCAGATACAATGTGTAAGCACTCCTTGGCTGTCATGCAACGCGCAGAGTTGTTTTTTTAGCGTGGTTCCACACCAAGAAGGGAAATGTATTTTTGTTCTGACAAGTCTTTAGTTTTGGTATTAGACAAGATTGAGCTTGTGAAAGTATTGTAGTATCCACTACCAGCAATCTGTACTGTTGAGAGATATTGCTATTTCCAAATACGCCTGGCAGCAAAAAACAACACTTCTACAGTTCTCCTCATTTTTTGTACTTGGATTTGATATTCCATAAAGATATTTAGTTTTTGAAAACAAGATGGTTGTGTTGCATATCAATTAATTCGATATATAATGGTCCCACAGATTTTATTTTTCTCGGTAAAAAATTCATTTTCTAGCAGCACCGGAGGCTTTTTTAGAGCTGTTGAATGAAGATTGTTTTCAGTTGGAAGAATGTTTCATTTTCAAAACCTGCTGGTTCGACACCCTAATTGAATTGCATTCTTTTAACGCTGCTGGTGCTTGACAGATTAATCAACCTTTAAAGAAGCTTTACTTTCAATAATCTCGAGACAAAATATTACAGGGAAAATGAAGATTGAAATAGAAACACAGTGTCATTCCTTAACACGATGATTCTAGGGGACCCAGATGAAGAGAGTATTTACACCTGAAAGTCCTTAAATGAACCTTGGACTAGAAAATGCGTGTTACATGAAGATGAAGATGACAAAAGGAGAAATCTTATTCTTGTATCAAGCAAGGAATCCAAGTCTTTCTCCATTCTTCTTGGCCAACCTAATCAGTCCTTGCCTTTGTTTTGCATCTGCTCCTATGGATTTGCAGAATTCGGTAATCACCTGTTGACAAAGCCATTTTTGAAAGGTTAACAAATTAGTTATGCAATTTGATTAAATTGCTGAAGATAGATATTTTAAGGGCCCATTATGTGTCTAAACAATTCTATTTTACGCTATTTACGGAAGAACATAGTAATTAATCAAGAGACTAATTAAGGAAAAGGCATTATAATTGGCCAAAAATAAGAAAAGGCCACTAACACCTTAGTTCATTACTACTGAAGACCTAGGAATAGAGACAAGAACTATACCTGTGAGTGTAGAGCAATTGCTTTGCCTCTAAGCTGATTGAACCTTTTCTTGCCAATTATTTGACGTGTGACAACAACAAGAGGTGCAAAAAGACCCTTTCCTTCATTAACATTCTTCATCATGGGAGGCAATTTCACTGGCTTTGCAACTCTAACATGGTTTGGCACTGACTTAACCAACATGGCATAGTCTTCACCAACAATTGAAGTACCCCAACTTCCCTTAAAGGAAGTCCCAAAACCTCCCTTAAACCCAGTTGCAGAAATTGAAGTAGCCATTAAAAAAAAGCACCCCAAAATACTGCTGTTAGACAACAGACAGTTCGAAGTTCCTTCTAGCTCTTTCTGTTCTCTTTGGAATTTTGATAGTGTTTCTTCTGCTTTACAAGAAACTTGTGATGCATGTGTTTTCTAGGTTTTTTTTCCCACAGGAAGGATATTTTTTGGTGTAAAATATGAGAGCCTTTGGTTTTTCATTAAAGGGTGGTGGGAGAGAGAGGTTCATGGGGCATTAAGAACCACACATGATGGCTGGTGGCTTGGATTTTTGTTTAGATTTCAGACCAAACACGTATTTTTACTTGAACCAATCCGGTTATTACTTACCGTCCAAATTTTTGGAGGAGAAAATCTTGATCTAGAATTTTATTGGCTCTGTCTTTAGGGATGGGCCCTTATTCTACCATTTGTTCACACGTAAGAGCCTTCATGGGATAATTCTGAACGTTCAGTTTATTAGATGGAATAAAGAGTTCAGAGAAGATGTGGTATTTGACCAAAAGACTCTGAAATTGGGTACGAAACTCAAATTGTATTTTCCATTCCTCAGTTCTTGGACGCTACACCGTACCGCCTGCATGTGAACAAAATGCAGTTGTGTGTTGTGTTTTTCTTTTTTCATACCTATTTTTATACCGACTTTAGACTAATTTCTCCCATATTTCCACTTAAATTGGCGGAAAAAAAATAAAAATTCTTGTACTCTTCTCTTATATTAGAGCCTTAGATAATTTAATTTGAAAAGCAAACGTGTTAAAATAGAGGAATGAGATATAGCAGCACGAGAAAAGCACGAGACGAGAAATGTATTTGCATTGATGATTCAAAATCATGCCCAACAATTCCGATAAGTTTTCTCTTTTATACAACGGGGTATGTTTTAGAATATTTACAATAAGAAAATTGAATAACAAACTATCTAACCGCATCATTTCTTGCGTGCTCATCATTGGTTGATGCGAGTCTGCGAAATGAAGGATTTTCCCGGTTCCGAGACTCTTGGAACAATTGACAACTAGCACTCTTCGAGTCCGTATGGGTCGGTCAATATAACAAACACCGGTGTGCATGGTGTGTATAACTAACTCTGCTCTCAATTCATTCTCGTTACTATTCCATGCATATCACCATGCATATTTCCCACACGCACACATTGCACATGCATATTTTAACACTCCCCCTCAAGTTTGACGAGTAGTATATATGTTTCTAATGCCAAACTTGGTTAATAAATGTTTGTGTTGTTCTATCGCCTAGACCTTTTGTAAGGAGGTCTGCTGGTTGCTCATTCGTATGTATGTGTTTAGTGACGAGTAGACCACTTGTTAAGTTGTTCCCTTACTAAGTGGCAATCTAAGTCTATATGCTTTGTTCTCTCATGAAAGACTTGGATTGCTAGCAATGAATAGAGCTGATTTATTGTCACGATGTAGTGTTGCTTGGCTTTAAGCTTTCCTCTCCCAAGTCTTTAAATAACCTCACTATCCACATTATCTCACACACTGCATTTACCATTGTCCTATATTCTAATTCTGCCGATGACTTGAAGATAGTGTTACGCTTCTTTGTCTTCCATGATATTGTAGAATCCCTAGCTTGACAAGAAATCCCGAACCGATTTCCTTGTCATATAGCAAGATGCCCAATCCGAATCACGAGTACACCTTTAGTTTCATTTGGCTTGTAGAAGACATCATCAATCCCATTCCCGAACCTCCTTTTAAATACCTTAGGACCACGTGAGTCGCTGCCAAATGTGATTGCTTTGGCCTATGCATGAATTGGCTTAGGAGATGTACACCGTATGAGAGGTCCGGCCTAGTGATTGTAACATATATGAGCTTCCCTATAAGCCTCCGATAACTTGTAGGTCTGCTATCTCCGGATCCTTTACATCTGTCTTAATTCCTTCATCAAACTTCGTCGTGGTGAGTTTTAAATGCTTGCTTCTATTGGTGTGTCTAGAGGCTCAGCATTGATCATTCTAGTTTCTTCAAGTAGTTCCGAATGTATTTCCTTTGTGTCAAGCATATGCCTTCCTTCGATCTTGCTTACCTCTATCCCTAGGAAGTATTTCGGATCACCAAGATCCTTTATATGAAATTTCTTGTGCAAAAAAATCTTCAAAGTTCGTTATCTCTTCTTCATCATCTCCTCGTGATGATAATGTCATCTACATACACAAGTAGAATAACCATTTTTCCACCATTCTTCTTTACAAAGAGTGAGTAATCATTGAGTGATCGCTTGAATCCAGACTTCCAACATAGCCTCACAAAATTTCATGTTCCATTGTCTGTCGGCTTGTTTTAAGCCATATAGTGACTTAAGCAACTTGCAAACTTTCTTCTCCCCTTAATCTCAAACCCCTCCGGAATTGTCATATACATCTCTTCATTTAAATCTCCTTGTAGAAAGGCATTCATGACATCCATTTGTATTAGTTTCCAACCTTTTACAGCAGTCTAAAGCAATAACGGACCTTATTGTCACCATCTTGACAACTGGTGAGAAAGTCTCTTTGTAGTCAATTTCTTCATTTTGAGTGTATCCCTTAGCAACTAGCCTTGCTTTGTATCTTTCAATGCTGCCATCCGACTTACATTTCACCTTGTACACCTACTTGCATCCTATTGGTTTCTTCTCTTCTAGCAGTGTTGCCGGAACCCGTGTCTTATTAAAAGTTAATGCTCGCATTTTATTCCGTATAGCTTCAATCCATTTAGGGTCTTGTTTTGCCTCCCGGTATGTATTTGGTTCCGTAACACTCGGCTAGGTTTGATGTATATGTCTTATATGTAGGTGATAGGTGTTCATAGGTTATATAATCTGTGATAAGGTAATTACCTTTCTTTCTTATCGTGATCGAGTTGCTTCTGAGGATGGTAGGGCATTGATAATCACTTGGACCAAGCTGGTGGTTGGGTTACTCTAGTAGACCTTCTTAGATTCATGTCATTTTGTGTTTCATATTCGACAAAGAGAGTGAGGTATTAAGGAAATCGGTTTCGAAAGAATGGTTGGTTGTGGAGGAATTGGTACTTGTGTGTCGACAACAGAATGTGTGGGTGTGAGATTTGATTCCGAAACCGACTCATCAAATAGAAAATCATTGAAGAGATTTTGATTTTAAGTTGAGTTATGTGGTTCTAACTTAAAAGGAAACACATTTTCATAGAATAAGATATCTCTGGACACGTAAATTTTCTTTGAATGCATGTCATAGACTCTATAACCGGATCGTCCAAAAGGATATCCTATAAATATACATGGTTTTGATCTTGGACTGAATTTGTCGAATTGTTCAAGGTTTTTACATAACAAAGGGTTCCAAAAACTCTTAAATGATTTATCTTAGGTGTTTGACCAAAAATCATTTCGTAAGGAGTTTTGTAATTTAAGAGAGGGTAGGAACTCTGTTTATCAAATATGTAGTCGTCGAATGCAATCTCTCCAAAACTCTATTGGCACATTCGATTGGAACATAAGAGATCTAGCAACATTAAGTATATGTTCGTGTTTTCTTTCTACCCTTTCATTTTGTTGTGGTGTATAAGGTATGGTGCTCTCATGAATCACTCCTTGTCCTTCCAAAAAATTTTTACATTCATGATTCAAAAAATCTCTTGCTCTATCTCGTTCGATTTTCTTGATAGTTTTGTTAAATTGTGTTTTGATGAGATGGAAGAAATTCTTGATAGTAGTGTTGGCATCACTTTTGAAATTTAACAAAAAAGTCCATGTTCCTCTTAAATAATCATCAACTATTGTAAGAAAATATCTAGCTCCATTGTGTGTAGGTGTTCTATAGGGTCCCCAAATGTCAAGATGCAATAGTTCAAAGGTGTTCTTTGTTTTGGTTGGTGATTTAAGAAAAGGTAGTCCGGTTAATTTTGCTAATGGACGGATGGGATAATGTGTTTCTTCATGATTAGATATATTTTTCAATGCTGGTAGAAATTTAAGTCTCATGTTGCTAGCATGCCCGAATCTTATATGCCAAATATTGTTTTTTATTGATTGAGAGATTGCATTACAACTTGATTGAAAAGCATTGTTATTGACAACTCTAGAAATTGACATGACATTAGAAAATGAAAGCCGAGAATTTGTGTTTTGTTGGGGTTTGAGAACTTGTGTTGAAAGGCAATGTGTGTTTGTATTGAGATAATAGAGTCCATTTTGTATTCTACCAATCCCCTTTATCAACCCGATCTTGAGGTCCCGAAATAAGCAAAAATCGAGGTAAAAAGATACAAAACATTGGTTATCTTTGGTGAATGTCGAAATGGACGAGTAGGTTAAATTTAAAATCTGGTATATGTAGTACATTGGTCGGTTTAAAATCGGGGGACAAAGATATAGTGCTTATATGGGTCACTTGAGATGATTTACCATTTGGCAATTGAACCTCTAAATGTTTTGAAGCAATGTGAGAAATTAATGCATCATCACTTAACTTGCAAGACATGTGTTCATTAGCTCCACTGTCAATCACCTAATTTCCTTTCAAAGAATCATTCATGACATTTACACGGTAAGTAAAAATACACGCAACATTTGCTAGAGGTTGGTTTGAGGTTGATGCCTTTCCACCGTCGGATTCCGTCCCAAGCAATCGCATAATCCGATTGTATTGTTATTGTGTGAAGACCGATGCAGTTTCTACTTGTTTGACTTCCTAGATCTTCCTTGTTTGTATCCAATCTGCCATATTCTGTCGACCCATAGCTTGACTGGTTTGCATGATAGTTTCTCCATGTATTTCCTCTACCATAAGATCTCATTCCTCCTCTCGCCTCTTCTAGGTGTACTTGGATAGCCTATCAACTTGTAGCAATCTTTCTTCAAATGCCCCGTCATACGACAGGTAATCACATGTGACATTTTCTCTTCGCTCACATTTTCATTCCTTGATTGATTGTTGGAGTAGAAGCTTGCCGGTGCTTCATTAACTTGCACGCTATCGGAGATAGTCCTCCGAGATTCTTCATTGCTTACTATGGAGTAAGCTTATGTGTGTGTAGGTAATGACATCATCATGATTTGTGATCTCACATTTGCATAGTTTTCATTTAAACCAATTAAGAACTAGAGCATTTTGAGATGCTCGTGTATATTCTAGGTATAACTTGGAATTAGGACAATCACAAGTTGAAAAAGTCACTAAAGTCTCAAATTCATCCCATAGTTTTTCGAGTTTTGAGTAGTATCGTTGAAACGGAGAGAGTACCTTGCATGATGTGTGAGATCCCTCTATGGATAACAAACATTTGAGGTCCACCGACCTTGTCAAATCTTTTTTGAGATCTTTCCATACCATTTCAAGTTGATTTGTAGTAAACCATGGCATTATAAATCTCTTGTGATATCGTATTTAATGACCATGCAAACACTATAGCATTGCATCTCACCCAATGTGCATATAATGGTGAAGTCGAGTTTGGTTTCTCGCATGTGCCATCAATAAACCATATTTATTCTTTGCTTCTAGAGAAATCTTCATAGCTCTAGACCACACTCCATAATTCTCCATGCCTTTGAGCTCCAACTCTTTTGAAACTAATACCGCATTTGGTGTGTCGAAGCATGAATGTGAAGTGGATTTGTAAAATCAATGACTCGGTGCTACATTGGGTCCGGATGCACTCGTTTGTTGTGTTTTCTTCATTGCTTATGTTTATGGAGAAGTAAGGATGAAATGCAAGGTTTGAATAGAGGTTATTGGATTGTGATCTCGAGCTCGATACCATGTTAAAATAGAGGAATGAGATATAGCGACAGAGCACGAGAGAAGAGAAATGTATTGGCATTGATGATTCAAAATCATGCCCAACAATTCTAGTAAGTTTTCTCTTTTATACAACATGGTATGTTCTAGAATATTTACAATAAGAAAATTGAATAACAAACTATCTAACCGCATCATTTCTTGCGTGCTCATTATTGGTTGATGCGAGTCTCCGAAATGAAGGATTTTCCTAGCTCCGAGACTCTTGGAACAATTGACAACCGGCACTCTTCGTGTCTATGTGGGTCAATCAATATAACAAACACCTGATGTGCATGGTGTATATAACTAACTCTCGCTCTCAATTCATTCTCGTTATTATTCCATGCATGTCACCATGCATATTTCCCACACGCACACATTGCACATGCATATTTTAACAAAATGTAGAGATGGTGCCTTTTTTTTTAAAAAAATAAAATTATGCCATTATTTTAGAAATATTATCGTTATTAGTTTATTTGATAGTGGAAAAATAAGAAATAAAATGAAGAAAATGAAAAAAAAAATCAACCTATAACTTTTTATGATCAACCTATAAAAAGCTTCACTTTCTACGTGTATCTCTAATTAGCTAATTCTTTATAGTAATTAAACATTTAATTATAATATAAAATTAAAAAAATTAAAAGAAATTCCTTATTTAAGTCAAAATTTAGTACCAAATATTAATTTGGAAAATGACTCTCTGCATGAATAAAACAATTAGAATCACAGGATAAGTTGTAAAACATTTTAAACAAACGTTTCATATTAAAACTTCATACATACAAGTTGATGTGACAATTGATAAATGATAAAATTAACATGGATCAAATAAATAACAAAACAATTAATCTTTTATTTTTTTAAAAGAAAAAATTAACTGCCAGTTATATGGACATGTGTGAAAATTTTCTATGTATATCATTACCTAATTTGAAAAATGCATGATTCGTCTCACGAACAAAGCGAATCATGTGCGATGCGCTTGTCAAAATGACTAGTTTAACTTAAATGGCACCAGAAAACATATCAGTGGCTGATGCATTGGAGCCCCTTGCTTCCTAAATTCATGAGTGCTCTGATGGGGACATTGTTCTGCGTCATAATCCAAAAACTGAGTTTCTCCAATGGGATTGTTCCTTCAACAGCTGTACTGCTTAGCCTTTTCAATCATAAGACGTTGGCTGGATTTTTATCCAAGTTTGTGCTTTACTAGACAAGAGAATGGTTAATGGATGATCAGTCTTTATTAGTTGTGAGTTTTCGTGGGATGTTTGGTCTTTTGGCACTGCGCAAGGTCTTGATTTAATCAACAACTTTCACACATATGCACGATCTGATCTTGCAGATCAACAATTAATTAAGGTGTATAATTGGCAGATATCTGAGCTTGAGTTTCTGCTAGAGCTTCTTCAAGTGGTTCTTCCATATTGGGGTTGCGGATCCATGTGAATTTCATAATATCCCAAGCCTTGGCTTGACATTTTTCAATTTCTCGTTTAAGTTTTCTTTCATTCATATATGCGGACTCCTACATCCTCACATGCTCGATTGCTTTGTTCTTCTCGGGGATATCATATTCAGGAGTTTCTGATACCATTATATTTCCCAACATGCTGGAAGAAGGTAACCTGTTAGCCTTCATAACAGTGATCCTAACGGTCTCGGCCTCTTCATTGTTACTTCATTGGTGACCAATAATGGCGGTGTAATGGCTGGCTAAGCAATTTGTGGAGTTACTGTAACCATCAGTATCTCCACCGCAGATGAGCTAATTAATGCAAGATTTGAGGATCGGTTATCTCACTCTGTCGTCTTCCAGGTCAATTTCCTGTGAGCTAATTAATGGATTGGTATCTTTTTCTAGTCTAACCCATCATAATTTTATTATTTCCACAATGAGACTGAATCTACCTTTCTAGTCCTATTAGAGAGGAACTATTCGCATTTGATGAGAAGGGTAAGACTTATAAAAAGATTACTACTTTTTACAACCTAACCTAAGGTTTGAATGTTGAATGCTGACCCAATTAAGCCAATCCCATTAGGTTTTAGCTTAAATTGAAGTGCCCACTTGACATCTTTCCCCCTACAATTTGAAACAGAAAAAAACTAAAAACCGGCCTTAGAAGAACAAGTTGGAACGTGAGTAATATTCCTCCCAACCTTAAAAAGACAATCAATCGAACACACAGCAGAAACTAAAAAGCCGACAAGAAAAGCAGGTAAAAGAAACAAAATGGCGTCACTTGTAACCCATCTGTGTGCCACTCTTTTCCTTCTCCCTGTAGGTCTACGCCGTCACTATAGCTCCTCTTCTCTTTACCTCAAGAGCCCATCTCTTTTTAGATCCAAGACATGGTACCTCTCTGATCCCAAATGGAAAAATCTTGATTTGTACATCCTCACTGTAGCCCTCCCTATTGCTTCTTTTTCCCTGATCTTTCTTTTCTTTTCTATTACTACGGGTCATACAACTTACCGTTTCTCTTTCTTGCATCAATCCTTACTTCTTTTTCTCTACTGGGTTCTGGCAATTTTGTTTGCTTTACGAGATAGCATTGACCCTGTAGTAATTTTTGATAATTTCTTGTTTGTGTTTGGTGGGATTTTGTTTTTTGTGGAGTATTATTTTATTGGTGAGGGCACTTCTGGTCTTGTTGGTGAGGTTGTTTATGGTTTATGTGGTGATTTGAGTCTTGTTTGTGGGTTTTGTTGTTTGTATTTGGCTATTAGGCCTGGTGCATTTTTTGCCGAGTTTTGTTTGTGTTGTGGATTGGTTTTGAAAGGGACTTGGTTTTTGCAAGCTGGGTTGTGTTTGTATACTGATTTTTTTGGTTTTAAAGGGTGTCATAAGATTGAGGTTCTGCCTGAGAGTGGAAATGTTGAGTTAAAGTGTGATCTTGAGGAGGATGGATTGAGGGGTGTGGCACTGGTGAATCTGTTGTTTGTTGGACATGCAATTGTGGTCTTTCTTGTGAGTGTGGGATTCTTTGGATTGTTGTCGAGAAATACGAATTTGAGGCATGGTGAAGCAAGCGGTCCTTTGCTGGCAGGGCTTGACTCTGAGATTGCTTTGATGCGAGCGCTTCCTGAATTTGAGGTGGAATGAAGTGTATGTTCTTTTTTTTTTTTTCCCCTGGCCTTTTCTCCTGTATTTCGATACACTATTTTGGTGTTTAATGGAATTTAAATCGATTGTTTGTTCATACATATAAGGCAATGGCGTCCTTTTCCTATATGCTTTTGCTGTTTGCACACAGACATTGCTTACTAGGTTGTCTTTTTAATCTTGAATTACCTTTCATCAGTGAATGATTATGGTTAAGTTTTTTAATTTATTGTTTTCGCTTATTGAGCAGTGCTGACAATACGATGAAAAGTTATAAGACTAATTAAGGTGGATTGACTTGCTTTCAACCTATGTATTTGATGAGAGGCCATAACAAAATCATGCAAATAACCAAATACAGCTGCAATTTTGTAGGAAAATAAAAGCACCTATTGAGCCTATTATCCTGCTAGTGTTGTACCATGGGATCAGCTGGAATTTTTTTTCTGTCCTTTCTGTTTAGCAGGACATGCTTTTATAGTTAAGTTGCTCTTTTCTATCTTGCAATCAGGTACAGTAAAGAAAAGTATTTTGTAATCTAATACAGACACAGATGGACAGCCAAACATTGAAGCAATTTGAGCTCTTGTTTTGTTGTATTCTGTATCCGAAGGTTAAAAATGATATTGATATAAGACAACTTGCATACAGGACGAATTTCAAACATGTTACCATTTGCTGATATAATAAATTCGAAGCAGGCAAAAAATTATGTAAATGTATGGGATATTGAAAAGCTTTGATTCTTATATTTGTCTTACTAACATGCCCTTGGGTAGATTTGCCAGACATGGATATCATGTTCTGCTTACTCCAGTAGGCAGAGGCAGGCAAAGGATTTAAGTATTGAAGGGCCAAAAAGAAATTGTATATGTATATATATGGGAAGGGCTTCTAGATTTGTTCCTGCTTGTGGATAAAGGCTGTTGCTTTGTTATGTGGTAGTTACCAAGTAAATAGAGTTTGGAAATGGTTGTTCGAGTTGCCTATTGGCATCAGTAATATTTGTAGCTTAATGAGGGCCAAACTGAAGGAAATAAATACCTTCATAATGTTTTTGTGTTCCTCCCAAATGCATTGCCTCATATTATTGTTATGAATGACGACATTTAAGTAAATTCTAATAATTTAACTGGAAGTGATCAAAGTGTTAGAGTTCAACACGTTAGAGATAAGCAGATTTTGATATTTTCTTTCGTATGGCTGTAAATACCCACAAGCTGTAGAATATTTTCAGTTCTGCAGTGAGTAAGATCTCATCTCATAACAGCATGTACAGTAGCAAAACAAAGTATCTTTCAATGGAAGTATGGATTCTAGGCAGAAATATCATGGAATCTTTGATAATAATTGTTGAATTTTTTATATTCTGTTGTTTCACTAGCTTTGAAGTTGAAGATTTTTTTTTTTTTTTGGCATAAACTGGAGCCATTACTTCGTGATTTTTATTTCTTCAATAAGGTGCTTGGAGCCAATTAAAAGGTCTTTAGAATTTGAGTTCAGTTCTTGAATGTGGTAATATTTAAGGACTTCTATGATACTTGAATTCACAGATGGACCATGGCCTTGTCAATTCATGTATTTTTAACTGTTGCACTTAAGTGCTAATGTTTTGCTGGAAAGCTTCTCTTTTCTTATTTCGCATTCCTCTTCTTCACAAAATCCTAAATCTTTGAGTATCATGGGGCCTTTATTTAATATTTTTTTTGTAGAAAGCTGAAATTGATGCCCCCCTCCCAATCTTTTATATCAAAGTGCAAACAAAGGGATTGTGACTGTCTTTTCAGTGATATGCTTGCAAGATGCTTTTTTTAAAAATAAGCTAGCATGTTAAGTTTTTTGGTACTGTAGAATGCTACTGAAGGAAGGCTTCTCTGAAGGTGCCCCTGGATAAAAGAAGAAAAGAGTCAGAGAATAGGGTTGAATCAAATCAAGATGTCTCTGGTATCCTGTAAACGCTGCATGACTTGTCTTAGAGACGGCTTTACCTTGAATGATGAGTTTTTTTTTTTCTCAGGTCCTGATCTCTATTTTGTGCTAACAAAAGAGTACTTTATATAAGTTGAACTTCTTTGATATATTGCAGATTTAAACAGACTGGAATAAAGAAAGGATTCAGTATTCTTTAAGTGGCCACATATGAGAAATCCTAACTAGCATCATTTAAGTGGATATGGCAGAAACATATGTCAGTAGCTTCAGTTCTTATGGTGATCTAGGTAGTGTATCCTATTGGAGACATTCAATGTAAATGCTCTAATGTTGTTCTAGTTGGGGCACTAGTAAGCTGAAGAGAAATTCAACTACATAGGTTCATCTGATGGAAATTCATGGTTCTACGGCCCTGCAAAGCAGGTTTTTCTAGCTATCTAAAGACGATTACCTTTCCTTCTTACAGGTGTCCTCCTAGAAGGCTTGATGAAGAGATTATGCTTATCAAGAAGGAGATAGCAACTGAAACTTTAGCTAGTAAAAACTATAATTGCATGCAAAGCAGAGTACACATGTGCTGGCTATGACAGATTCCAGTTTATCATCCACAGAAATAATGGTTCAACTGTTAACCTTTGCTGTGTTACAAGGTTCAAGCAAAATGAGGAAAATTTATAAGGGGCTTGGTTGCTAGACTCTGGAAAACAATGACAGTAGCTAAAAATTTCTAGTAAGTTTCTCTGACTTCTTCATATAGTTTGATGTGTATATCGAATGTGAAGTTTAGTTATGCACACATTAACATGCCTGTCACATTACAGGAAGTTGCATGAGCTTAACTAATCTTGCTTTTCTTTTTTAAGCTCGTGTATAAACTGATATGATCTGCAGACTTCTCATTGCAGTGTCATTGTCAATATGATTAGATACATTTAATGATAGACCTGATTGCTCTTGAAATTGCTCAATTGCTATTATCAGTCTTAGCAGATTAGGGTAACTTGCAGCTTTGATGTACTTCTACAAGACAAATGCAAGCTAATAGTCATGGATAGAAGTTCACATATGGCACAAAATTACATCTCATAACTGGAAATAAGAATATATAACATGGAGTTTAAATTATTCTAGTTTCGTATATCCCAGTGGAGAAGAGAACTTTGGGAATGTCAACCATCGTCTACGAAAACGCCGAAATCCATGGATTTTAATCCGAAAACGAATTTGCTTGATCTTCCTGGTTAAATCACGACATCTTCTTTTGAAGTTTTTTGGTTTTGATAATCTGACCAATTTTCCAACGTAGCTGCATTCTGCATATGCTGGAAAACAAACAAAACATGAATGTAAACTAAAAGTGAAAGAAACCTATTCGCCACTTCTTTCTTAATTCACTCTCTAGTCATCATTCTACTGATCAGACTGGTGAGCAACAAATTTATTGTGTTATAAAACAATCTTACTTTAGTAATTTCTCTAAGTACCATATATATGATGGGATGACTTGTGGGTTAGTTAAGTGTTTCTCAGCTTTCCATCCATGAAACCATAGAGCACCATCTGTCTCTTTGTGAATCGAAAGGGAACTTGCCCTTGTTGTTTTGTTTAATTTTCTCTATAATAACATAAATGAGCTGAACACTTTACCTTTAACCTTTTTAACAGCTCCATTTTCTTCCAATTTTTCCTTGTGCAGGACCTGCAAGTTGCAGTAAGAAAATTAGTCTTGATGTCCTCCTGTTGAGGGCTGATGTATTATTGACTCATGATTGCTTTTATTGCAATGTGGAGTTGCTAGGTTAGATCCAAAATTACATTTTGGAGTGCAGGGGAACAAAAACAAAAATTGAAATGCAAAACAGTTAATTGTTCAATAACGAAAAAGGAAAACTTTAGTGATTTTTGGTTATCTGAATAAAGTTTACTAAGAAGATGATGCTACTTCTGTTAGGTTTTGTTCAGCACCTCAACCAAACTTTCCAAACGCTTTTGCATCCTTCTTTGTATGAAACCTCTGGTGCACTATTAGAAAAAATATTGTCAGCAAAGGACGTATGCACTGTTAACTCCAGTGCTTTACACGCCTCACGCCCAAAGAACCTCAACAGAAATAAATAAAAGAAAGAACATTGATAGAAAGTATTACCTTTACATGGTTTTTCACATAGGCATAGAAGTTTAATAGACTCCATACAGTTTTGTCTAATTTTTTACCCTCAACGTGATGTGAAGAAATATCTGGCAATATGGCAGAAAATACATCAGCTTAAGCATGCTCAACCTTTCCTGTATGTGGATAACCATGTCTAAGAGAGGGATGAAAACAAATGCTGTTATTAATCACCAAATGAAAATTTTCATAATCAATGAACTAAAGTGCCATTATTTTGTGTATCAAGTTTATAATTAGTCGTCAAGCAATTTTGTTATTTTCAGTGATAATATTGCAAAAATGATGGAAATATTGTGTAAACCACTCTATGCATGGTTTTGTGTTCAGCTATGAGCAATGGGGAATACCAAAAGAGACAAACCCTCCATTGGTGCTTAAATCTTCTAAAGTTTCTCCTCTCAATTCTGGCGGTGGAATGGGTGACCAGGTGCATGGTGGTGCTTTAGCCCATTTTTCTGAACTACCCACATCCATGAGTTCCTATTGCAAAAGGAAAAGGAGAAAAGGTCATATAGATAGCATCACTTTTAAATACCAACAAGAAGAGAATCTCAGAACCATAATCAGTTGAATGTCTATCATGTTAGGGTTTTGCAAACCTGAAAGAATGCTGTTGCGATAATCACATCTGAATGCTCTTTAAAACGCATTGGGAATACTGCTGTGATTTTTTGTGGCTGTCTAGCAAATAAATTTACTTTAATTAGCAACCTGAAATCAAATATAAAACCTGCGGTAGTTTTTATTCATTCAAAATTTGGTAGAGCTGCTGTTGTTGATTCTAGATAGTGATCTACAGCATTTTTACAATATCAAATAAGTGAAGCAGGTGGTTTTTAGTGGCTTTGAATCTTAATTGAACATCCGTATCTCTTAGCATATCATGTTTTGATATCTTTATTACTTTGCTGTTTTGTGGATATTTATAGAGAGGATATAAAAGTTGGAATTTAGCTGGAACTCTAGCTAGTTGTTTGAACATATGAAATGGCCTGCAATTCAACTGAAATGCCAGAACTATTTTAAGTGTAAAAGTTGACCAGATTTTGAGAAAGGCTAGACTGCCAAATGGGTCATGATTTTCCATAAAGATTTTACAAAATCCAGAAATTCTTGCAATCAAAATCTGGCACCCTGTCATTAGAAGTTATTAGTAGACTGACAAACGTATTAACGAAAATTGGTCTTTCACTATGATATTGCTTCATGAAGTCTAATATTGTCACTTGGGTAGTGAGACCTTAATTAGAAGAAGATTGTGATTGTATGAGTGATCATACCTGTCTGATGACATAGAAGGGCTCTCTTGGGTGATAGACAAGTTTAATTGGCTTATTCATTCTTTGGGATGGATCCTGGGAATTGACATTTCTCAACATTTCCTTCAGCTGGGAACTTAGTATAACTGCTTGCACTGAAGAAATTTGTGTAATCACTTTTTCACAGTCTGGAAAAGGAAAATATGTGTCAGCATGATTATGCAGTGTGGAAATTTGATAGCCTGGTATGAAAATGGACAAAAATTGAACACCTCCTATTAGTATTTTCTTCTCCTTTCATTCCTTACAAAATGCTTAGATAAGGAAGATCATGATGTTAATTTCATGCTTTAAAATCTTGAATATTACACTGGCCATAATGACAAGTCATTTAGCTTAGCATTACTTATCACTAATTCTAATTAGTTTTATGTCTTGACTTGAATGTTTTGTCTATATTTAGTAGAATTCATATCTTCAAATGCGTTTGTCCAACTCTGTCATTATTTCAGCTCCCACCTAAACAACTGGTACTATTTTTTACTCCTTTTCAGAAGTATTGTCAGCTAATCTTTTTACTTCCTACATTCAAGTGTCGTGGAAAACTTGGTATGGATGTCTTCAAATCCTGAGATTGTGATTAGTGGTACTGGCAGAAACAGGAAACCTATTATTTAAGTGGACAGTTATCTCAGTGCTACAGTGGTTTAGTTAATCAAAATGGTAGGTTTAGTATGTCTAGTTGGGCTGGCTAAACTTTTCTTCGTACTGTTAATTAGTCCTTGCTATAAGCCCCGAACTCAGGTTTACTGCATACAGTTCTCATATCTCTTGTTTGCATCAAGAAATATCACCGTTTCTTCTCCATCAGGCTCTAGCTTATGTTCTTTCTAAGGTAGTCTCCTATCAGAAACTTAAACCCCTTTCATGTGTGCAATTCAGGCTTCTTTTGTAGTTGGAGTTTGAAGCTATGTTTTCTCCGTAAACTTCTTAGTGATAATTACAATATACTGAGGCTACTCGTAATTTTTTTGGTGAATAGAAGGAATAGTATGCTTAAATGCAAGTCAGCACTATTATGTGTCGCAAAAGCACCAATAAGCTATTTTTTTTTTTTTTTTTAATTGTGATAATTTGGAGAAGTAGCAAACCTTTTCCACGTGGAACCTTAGCGAAATTTAGCTTTAGTGTAAGCTGATATCCTTCTTTTGCAGGTTCAACAACCTCCACAGCATCCGAACAGACTTGCTTTACCATCTGTGTAGTGTATGATGACAACCCATCTGATAGCAGGGCTCCTTGGGACAGTAATGGAGTTGATATTGACAAGTAGTTATGTTGTGGATCAGCTGCTGAGGACTGTAAACAGTACAGGATGATTATCAGGATAATTCTCAACATTTTGTTGAAAGCCTATATATGTCAGTATAGCTCAAGTTGACAGATAGCGGGAATGTGCGTTTTTGAGCATGCACGCAGCCATTAACCACAATCATTTATAGAATTCTTGCAGATTTCTGGATGCTGAGTCATTCCAACTTTTTATCAAGTCAATTACTTGGACAGTCTAATGTGGTGTCAACTACAAGTGGTTGCATCAAGTAGAAGTGGATGTTGACATAAGTTATCTGTAATAAATTAAATTTGACCATGCTAAGAATGCAATAGACTAACCTGAACAAGGTATTCCACAGACCCAAATTCATACATGTGATGATCAATCTCCAGAGGCTTCTCAGCACTATCATGAAAGGAAGAACATCAATTTTCATCATCGTTTTTGTTGATCATCATGCAACTCGAGATACAATATTTGCTTACTTGGGATGTGAGGGAGAAGAAAGAAACTTCAAATTTGTCCAGAGGAATGAAGCCTACTACTTTCAAGGTTAGCATATTTTATGCTTCCTTTTCCTTTCCTTGACATCTAGAGCATGGATATCTAGAACTGTATCCATTCTCTATTTGTGTATAAATAAACTGAAATGGTTCTGTGATTTATTGCATTAGGAGTCCATGAGAAACCTTAGCAGAACTTATCATACGTTTATTTTATAATTTCCTCCTTTTTATTTTGAAAAAGCCAACGATAAATCATCTTGTATGCAGAAGTTACCTTCAGATGAAGAAATTCAGCCAATTCAGGCATGCGATTTTTAATTTAGATCAATTAGTTCAATGCTTGACTTTTTTTCATATGAAAGGTTGTTTGCTTTCTTCAGTGATATGATGTCATCATCCACAGATCATGGTTTGATCTCAGCCTTGAAGCTGTGAGAAGTATTTCATTTTGTATTATATTGCATGCTCACTCGTTTATATGGCAGACCAAATGAAAGAGGCTATCACAAGCTGTTTCCACCTGGCTTATTTGAGGGAGCTATTCAGCTTTGTCCCACCCACCAACTATTGTATTGCATTTCGTTGCTTATCTAGCTGTAGAACACATTCCATCCACCACAAAATTATAGAGCCATCATTCAAGAGGAAAGCTACCTTCGCCCTCCCTTTTTAGACACACTACTTTATGGTTTGTATTTTGGTAATGAATATTCTTATGCATTCGATATCTCATTTATCTGGAAACTTAATGTTGAAGTTATATATGCAGGTTCATGAGTGTGATGTTAATCAATCCTGAAAAACTTGCATTTGGGAAAAAAAAGGCAAAAACAAAAAAACAAGAAGCAGCAGCAGATAGAAAAGTGGCAGGCATCCGTGGAAGACAGTTCTTTATAAACGTAATATTGATGGAACAGAAGTGCTTACCGGTACAACTTGAGCAGGATCTCCTTGAGTGCAGGCGACACCCTCTCAAAGCATGCCATCTTGAAGAACAGAACCCTCTCTCACATAGTAGTGGAAATGGAGCTGAGATATAGAAGTTTAAATCCAAATGGTTTTGTCCATATCTATGAACTTTGAGTAGAAAGCAAGTTGAAATCTTGCAATCATGGTTTAGCAACCCTTGAAGCAAGTACCTACCCATCATCACTTCCCTCTCATTTCTCCATCTCTCTGCTTCGTAACTGTGTTGTTGTTTGTAAAGTACGCATAATGGATCGCATGTCCACATCCTCCTACTGTAAACTTCTGTTTTTAGGATTTTATATCATTAATAATTCTAATGTTTGCACGAGCCATGAGCTTTGCTTGCAAAAAAAGCACATAAACTTAATTAACGCACGAACTCACCAGACACAAATTTCAGATTAGAAAATTCTTCTCACGCACCCCCTGGATTTTCTCCACTGATTTTTCTTAGCTGCATCAATAATATAATATAGTCACTCAGAAGATTCTTTTGCAGGTTGTCCTTAAAGTAATTGAAGTACAGAATTATTATTTGGCCAAACAGTCCAAACTTTTTATGAAGTTTAAGCTTTTTGAGAATTGATTTTTTTAAAAAATAAAAAAAATAAAATTGGATTGGATTTTCTTTTGATTATTTTTTTATTTAAAATTAGATTTTTTTGTTAAGTTTTTATCGATTCTAATATTTTATTGTAATTTCTTGACAACTAAAATCATGTCCAAACTTAAGAATATTTTGTTTTTTTGTTGTTTTTTCAAGACTTATTTCTTCCTCCCTAAATGCTAATTATAAATGCTTTGTTTTCCCCCTCTTAAATATTAATAAGTAAATAATTCAAAAATATTTTAGAAGGAAAGAAATAAGTTTTGAAAAGAAAAATAAAACATTCATAAGTTTTACTATATTTTTAGTTGTTTGGAAATTTTTAGATGTTTAAAAGTTAAAAAGTCAATAATATACAAGTTACATATATTTTTATCATTAAAATTAATTAAAAAAAAAACTAACATAAAAACTCATTTTTAAATAAAAAAATAGTTGCAGAAATTGAAAAACTCATACTCAAAAGTTTGGAATATTTAGCTTTATTATTTAATCCATTCCTTTTGAACTATAAATGCTTTGCATCAGCTTGATGATGATTTTATGGCACTGTCTATCAATGAAAATGGCCCGATACTTCCATGACAAGAAGTTGTGATGTATTTATTAGGAAAAAAGAATACGTTATGTTTTATTGGGAAATTAGAATAGATTGCAATCCATTGCATGGTGTCTCTTTATTCCCGTTATTATTATTTTTTTCAAAGCATTTCATATGCATGCTTTGACTCGATTAAAAAAAAAAGTAATTTTATAAAAAATCTATAAAAAAAAACACTCTCATGAAACAGGAAATCGTAAACGTTGTAAGAAATAACAATCACTTTAAAATACAATTAGATACGATTTTTTATTGCGTGTGTGTGTTTTTTTTTCCTCAAAAAATCTGGAAGTTTGAGCTTCTTCTTTTTTTATTCATACGAGATTAATGTATAAAATTGATTCCAAGAGTTTAAAAAAAAAAAAGAAGAAGAATCGGAATTGGTCTGAGGAAAGGCGACTGGTATGAGAATAATCATCAATGAAAGCATACCCCATTGAAATTGTCCGCACTTCCTCGGACAGCGAAGTACCACCATCTACCTTCCATTCACATCACCATGAACTTTAATTTTAACTAATCACAGTCTCCCACGTTGACAACCAACGTCATAACCAGATTTAACTAACGTACACCCCAAAAAAAAAAGACAACTAACGTACACCATCGACCACTTCATGGTCCCACACGTCAATCACTTCCGCCGTTGGATCTCCTCCCTTCTTCTCTCCACACTTCAAAAATAATAGCAACAATCATAATTGAGAAAAAAAAACACATCAAATTAGTGTAGGCAGCGAAGCCAGGCAAGAATTACTACGAAACAAATCTCTATTTTGTTTCTTTTTATTAGTACTATCTTTTTGGGTTCCTCAAAAAAAAAAAAAAAATTCCTTTTTCTTTTTTTGTTTAAATTAAATTAAATGGTTTCGTTTTCTCGCTTGTTTGATTTACTTTTCTGTACGATTAATCTTATTTTCTCCGTCTTAGCGTTCCTTTCCTTTTTCATACATCTATCAATCAGCTGAACAAAACTCCTTTTTTTTTTTTTTAAAGCTCCAATTTTTCTGTCACTTTCTTGGGAAAGTAATGTCATCACCTCCTCCTCTCCATGACTTATCTTTTCTATCCCTTTTCTTTTAGATTCCTTGATTTTATATTTTCCTAATTCAATTCAGCGCTTGTCATGTCAAGAATGTGCGTTGACCTCGTATTTTGATTGTCAAAACCCTATCAAGACAGCCTTAACCACACAAAGTTTGCATTTTGGGGTTAGGGTTTGTTCTTTCTTGATGTTTGGAAACCTGGGTTGGTGTTATTTTTTGTTAAATATGTCATTTTGATTGATAGAATTAATCTTTTTCAGTTTTTTTTTTTTTTTTTTGGGTTGTGGGTGCAAATTTGTAATAGTCAATGGACACGGATATTAATAAGGATACTAATGGATTCAAAAACGAGCCTTCGATGATGACTTTAGGCTCTCCTAAAGTTGAGGAGGATGTTGAAGAGAATGGAGAAGATTATAGCGAGTTCAAGGCTTTGTTGCCTCCTAGGAAAGGTGGGATGTCAAGAAATTCAGACAAAGTCAGGAGAAAAGTTCAGTGGAACGATAATCACGGGAATAAGCTTGTGGAGGTTTTAGAATTCGAACCCAGGTAATTTTATAGTTTTTGGCTCAATTTGGCATATTTTACTGTTCTGGCTTTGTTTTTGTTTTTATCTGATATTTGGTTCAAAAGTTGAGCTGTGAGTTTTTAGTTTTGGAAGCTAGTTATGACTTAATTATCAAAAAGAAAAGTTGTTGGACTAGTGCATTTATGGGCATATATATCCTGGCTGTGCTTGATCGTCTATGAGCAGATAAGCTTCAGATTAATTGATAGATCTGGGTGGGGTTATCCTGTTGATTTTTAGTTATTTCCAAGCATTTTGATAACTCGTTTTGGCTTTGACTTTTTATAATTTTCCTCAATTTGAGTAGAAGTGTATCTGTACGAAGTATGACCATTATGCAAGCTCCAGGCATACCATGCGAAGTGTTTCTGGAATGAACTTTAATTAAGGATCAGGCAGAAGTGAGTCTGAGTGTTTGTGGTGTGAGCAGAGCTTGACCCTCTTGAGTTTATATTCCTTTTTCTAAGATTCTTGAACAGTCCCTTTTACATAAATATCTGGCTATTAGAACTAGAGTTGGCAGGGGTTGTTCCATTAATGGTCAGGACATAACAAATTACATTGTATTTATTTTCTAGGCTAAAGCACATTCCTGTTTCTATTTAGTTGGGAAGCCCTGTGACATAAGCTATCACTTAGGAAGCCTATTTTCTTCTAATCTTTAAACAACTACTGTTGTTGTGTTTTGCAATGAATGTATTGCCAATTTTCTTGCCGATCTTTTATGCATCTAGAATCAAAAGGAGAAGCTTGTTCGACATCATCTAACAATAATTGTGAGGCCTAATTATCTAGACCACTTGAAGCAAAAGATATGGTATTAATTCATCAACTCTGTTACCCATTACGTAGAATGAATATTCTCATTATAATGCTGGAAACTTCCTGCAAAATGATTTAACTTGTGCTGGGGTTACCTAGATTTATTTTAGTTGTTTGTGGGAGTACTTGATTTTATCTATTGATCTTTTTGCCATCCAGTGTTTTAAGAACTTTCAACCTTCTGGTTCAATTACTGTCCTTTTAGTATTATTGAACATTAAGTGACCTCTGTTTCTAATGAAAGGAGAGGTTTGTTTATTATTTGGACTCCAATTTACGATATGAAGTAATTATCAAACAAGGGAGAGATAAAGATTGCACTATGAAGTTTTAGCTATTGACCAGAGCATTTGCTTTTCCATTGGCTTTCATTTATATTGAGTGTACCCATATATGCCCCCACAATAGTATTATTTTGTGGATCCTGTTAGTAATCTAGTGTCAGATTTTTCATTCTCTTTTTCTAGTACCCTCACAAAGTTCCATTAGGAAACAAAATTTTCTTCTAAGATGACTCATTATTCTTCATTTTTCTTTTTCTTAGTAACAAGTTTCTCTCCATTGCTTCCTGAAAAAGGAAAGCAAAAAAGGCTAATAGTAGTTGTCTGGTGGATTTTGAATATACAACTTGTTTCATCTGATTCAGTGCAGTTCAAGTGTGGAAGTTATGGTCTTTGTCAACCACAATGATTTGGTGGATAATTCAACTTGTCCCTTATGCCTCATTTAGAGAATTTAGTATCTTCTAGTGCAAATCTGCTGATTCATACTATGATATCATTTCCAAATGTTAAAATGGGTGGAAGAAATTGGTGTCACGTTCAAAACATCCATAGCTAGCACACATCTAGTCATTTTGATGAATCTTTGCTCAGCACCAAGCATTAGGCGACCTTTTGAGCTCTGCATATCTACTTTGTTGCCTTCATAATTAATTGAAAAATTAAACACGTATACGTGTCCACAAGAAACCTTTGAGCTTGTAATGTCATTTGTCTGAGAACTGTACCACTTCTGTTCATAGAGTTAATGTTAGTTGACTATTATTGTATTGCTCACTCCAGTTTTCCATTTGTGCCTGCAGCGACGTTAGTGATTCTGATGAAGAGGATACAGATTCTTGCTTGTGTATGATAATGTAGATATCATTTGTACATCAATTTGTAGTATCTGCTGGATAAGCTAGTAGGGCATTCTCTCCAGCCACGGCATGATAATTGTGTGAAAGGACTGGTTTTCAACTTGTTGTAAGTGAGGCACCCTGCCATCCTTGTCTACACTTTGGCGCTGCTTGCCAAAGCAAAATTAAATCAGAGCTCTTTGGTGGTTCTTGTGGTGAGTTTCCAAACAAGTGCAGCTTTGAATTGGTGGATCTTATCCTGGGAAATGAAGCAGACAGAAATAACGATGTTCAAGCTTACACAATATGGCATAGGATATCAAGTAAAACTGGACATTTTTGCTTTTCGACATATGATTATATATTAAGAGATGAACAAACAACACACTTTAAGATTATCTTCACTAATGATTTCATAAAGTTTCATTTACTCAACCTGTATCAGCACTCCATTATTCCTATCATGCCACATTTGGTTTTTGCAGGCTGCTGCATTTTTATAGTGATCATGAGTTAATGCCAGGCGCATCATGCATGACGTTCGCATTGATGTATGGGGGTGAGTGGCCACTTATTGTGTTCTTTTCCCCTGTAGGCTTTGTTTATGCTGAGTTGTGACGGGGATACCTAACTTCAACAAGTTCCCTAGTACTCTTTCTTAATTAATTATTGATATAGAGTTGTCTGCGCAAATCGAAACTTTGGGACCCTGCAGAGTGTAGATTAAATACAGGAATCTCCTCAATTTAAACAGTTCTTGAAAGTATAACACTCTTTGTTTTGAATCGGTTTCTCCATTTAGCCAGTGTTGGAAGATATCTTTTATTGGAAGAACCTTAAAAAATACTAGAAAGTATTTGGAATGTTGTGCCTCCTTTACAGCTGTATGTCTTCAGATTAAGGTGGAAAGTGTTTCTCCAGAAACTAATCTTGGCTCTGATATACTTTAATTATTGAGAATGATGATATTTCAAATTGAGTTGTTCAGCTAGTACTGATTTTGAGACAAACAGTGAATTGAAAAGGAGGAAAATGAGATAATAAAATAATGATGGTGAGAAACAAGACAGTTAAACCGCACTTTCTCTACACTCAAAACAAAATCAAGAAGTGGATCAAAAAATCAGAAACAAGGGCACAAACACATTACCCCCAAATGGTTTCACACTTGCCCGGAATAGGCCACAAAGAATAAGAAGAGCAAACTCTACTGCGTTTTTATCCACATTCAATCCCAACCCCATATGAGAACAACCTTTTTCTTACTTTTCTGTTTGTGCTAGATTTCCACGAAATTGGTCCTCAGGTTGAATCCATATCTGTGTTTATATATATATACATATATATATATATATATATATATATATATATCAAATTATCACTATCTTGAAGGGGAAAAAAATCTTCTTATCAGGCGTTCAAGTTGGCAATGTCTAGAATCGGCAAATCTTCTCTATTTCTCCATGAATATGTACTGTCAAGCAAGCTTTTCTTTGACGGCTTGGTCTCAACATCATTGAATGCAGCTTTCTTCTGGTAAGAATCAGGATGAACTACCCAGTGTGAGAGGCTAGCATCAACTGCAATTTCTTGCTGGAGAGGTGTGGAGTGACTGATATTCGAGATTGAACTAAGGGGTTTCTGTGGGTGTTGCTCAAATGCTAAATTTTCTTTCCTCTGTTGCTTTTGTGGCTGAGTTCCTTTTATCTTCACTGCTTTCCATTGACTGAGATTTTCCACTGGTTTCAGCACGGAATGAACATATTGACACGATCTCAATCCTCCCTCGTTCGAGTCACCAAAGGACTTTAGATTTGCAGTTGTGTCCTCTCCCAACTTTGTCAAAGAATTTCTATTCTGTGAACTCACGGATAACGAGCTGAATTGCCCAGAAAACTCCTTTTGATTTACTTTCAATTCATCTATATTGCAGCCATTGTTATCATCGCCTTCGTCTTCGTCTTCATCGTCGTCGAATCCATCATCATCATCCAAATCACTTTCTTCATATGCAATTTCATCCTCTTCAACATAGCTGTCAATGCAGTTTCTATACCTATAATTTGACGGATAAGAAGCAATCTTGGACGCGATTGAATCCCCTTCAGAGACAGAAGAAAATTGCCTTTCTTTTGCAGCATCTTTGTCAGTCTCTTCCTCGTCACTTTCCCAATAATCATTTGTGCATTCCTCATTCGGGATTGGCTCATAAGTCTGAACATTCAAATTGAAGCTCACCTTCTTTCTAACTTTATAATTCAACGACTCTTTAGGTCTTCTGCTGTCAATTTTTTTTTTAAGGAAAAAAAAACACCAAAGAAACAAAACTTGAGCACAAATTAACTACCAACAGAGAGACCCACAAAAGTGAAAAATACAAGAGCAAAAGATAATAAATATGATAAAAATGATGGACCTGAGTTCAGTTTCGGAGGTTATGAGCTTCCCTGTAGTGCCAAGATTTGTAGAAACAGAATCTAGAGGTTCATAACTACCAAGTTTCTTCTACATCAAAACAAATGGAGTGGTAGGAAAAAAAGAAAGAAAGAAAGATGAGAATATGTCAACGAAAAAAGAATGGTAACTAACAAAGAGATGAATGTTGGAAATATAGAAGTAAGCTTACATGGTCTTTAGAACCCGGTTTTCTACGCTTTCTCTTAGAAGACAAGCCGAAACAGCCAAGAAAGCAACCCATCAGGTTTTGATGTAGAGGATGTTGATGCTAATGGTGAAATTGGCCAAAAAAAATAAAGAGAGTGAGTGGGGGAAGTGTGATATGGATTTGAAAACCATTTCTGGCTCCAACGGGTTTTGAAAATAGGAACGTTGGACTTTAATGATTGCAGAAGTGGAGAGGTGGGTAGGGAGTAGGGACCAGGTCTCAATCTGTATGCCTTAGTTTATAATTAGTATTAACTAGTTTTTTTATCCACGTTAAGCTGAGAATTGAATAAAATCTATAAAATTATTAAAATAAATCATTTTAGTTTCTATTTTATAATATAAATCTATAAAAATATATGAAATTAAAAGTGAAAAAAAATATTTATAATTTTTTAATATAAAATTTTATATTTAACTATTTCTTATTTGTGTTTTTTATATTTTTTCCTTTAGAAAAAAGATTCATCCTTATCAATCCATGGATTATTAACTAAAAAGAAAATTAAATAATTTTTTTTTTGAAAAAGCTTTAGTATTTCATAAGATTGTTTCGAAAAACATAAATAACAATTTTTAAAAACTTACATAGAATTAAACAAATAATTTTTTATTCAATATTGATTAGAATATCGGTTTTCGAAAAAATATAAATTTAATTTTTATATATCTAATTACAAAAGAATGAATAATATTAAAATAAAAAACCTATATTAATTTAAATCATTAAGTGGTTAAGTCAAAACATTATTTTAATTTTTAAATTCAAAAATAAATAAATAAATAGTAAATGTTTAGTATAGAAAAATAATATTATTATAATATAAACATAGTATTAATAACATATGACTATATTAAAAAAAATGACAAATTAAAGTAGTAAATTTTAAAAATGGGATAAAATCACAATATAATTAAAGTTTGAAATTGAAAAAAAAATATATAAAAAATTTAAGGACCAAAGTGTTAAAAAATTGATATGAATAATGAAAAGAATAATAATTTATAAGTATGTGAATAATAATTTATGAATATGTAAATAGTATTTTAAATAATAAATAAATAGTAAAATTATGTTTGACTTTAGTTTTATGTATAATAGTGTGATAATTTATGTATAATAGTGTGATAATAATACCACAGAAGAGACACATAAAACCTCATCTCCATCTAACACTGCGGCTCTTTCTTTCTTTTTATTATTTATTTATTTATTTATTATTATTATTATCCCTTCTCTTATTTACGGGTTGTGGTTTATTTGTAAGGAAACTTTTTATGAGTTGAATGACAAAACTAGCCTTGCTCCCATTCTTTTTTCAAATCAAATAACCAGGATTTCTCTTTTTGTTAAAACAAGACACGTCTTTTTAATCACGATCTAACATCATCTTTTCTCATGCGACAACGGTCCCTCTCTCACCCACGTCTTTGTCAACGACAAATTTAATTCATTAACTGAAAATACCAACCGGTCTCTTTAAATCTTCTCTGCTTCTCCATCAAATTAACCCATAACAGGAGAAGTGTGAATCGTTCCAACTAGACCCATTCAACTGCACCGAATATTTCAAGATCAAAGTGAGTTCAATACATTAGTCCTTAATTAGACTGAAATTATATCCTCTTACGAGGAGAAAGGAACCGTGCAACTTGGATGAATGGTGAGGAGGCAACAACAACACTTTGAATTTGGTGTCAAGGTAGAGATACCCAATTTTGAGGGAAAGCTTAATCTATAGATGAAATCTAGATGACTTTATTGAATGGATACATATGGTAGAAGAAGTGTTCGATTATAAAGATATTCTAAATGATAAGAAGGTCAAGATTTTAGTCATTAAATTGAAAAAAAAATGCTTCTATATGGTGGGAGAGCTTAAAAAGGCAACGAATTCAAGAAGGAAATGACAATATCACTTATGGGATAAGATAAAAAAGGCTTTAAACTATAAGTATCTTTTTAATTACTATAGACAAGATACTTATTTTAAATTTCATATTATTATTTTTTTTTTGGCAAAATAGCTTGAGTGTAAAGGTTTGGAGATTTAATAATGGGTTTTGGGAGAGTATTTCTAGCAAGATAAATCTGAAAATTTTGAGAGAGAGAGAGAGAGAGAGATAAGTCGGTGATGGAGAAGAAGAAAGGAGGAAGAAGAAAAAAAAATCTTTATGCATTTAATGAACCACCTTGAGATCAATCTAATTATGGCACACTTGGCTTGATCTTAAGGTAAAACTCTAATCATAAATATGGAGAAGAAGAAGAAAGGGTTAGACACCATTAGAGGTACTAAGAAGCTCTAAAAGGGAAGTTGTACCAAACAAGGAAAAACTACCAAAACCACCAATCTCAACCTCCTTAACTAGTTTAGAAACACTCTAAAATTGAGGATGGAAATGGTATGCATTTTAAGGTTATTTTTATTGCTATGCATTTTATTAAATGCATATGCTCATTCACATCATAATCATGGAAAAACATTTTACATTCATGATTTTGATGAAAAGGAAAAGGTTTTCAAAGGAAATGATTTGGTACCTTCGAGGAAATGGACATGCTTTATATGTTGAGGTTATGGGAAAGGAACGACCTCTTCTTTCTTAAGGATTTATGGAAAATGAAGGGTGACCTTTCTTGAGGTTTATAAGAGAGGGACGATCCTTTTTTTCTTGAGGATTTATAGGAAAAGGAGGATGAATTTTCTTGAGGATTATGAGAGAGGATTTATCACCCTTTCTTAAAGATATGAACACACTTTGAGTGTTGAGGATCATGGGAAGATACCTAGTGCTTCTTGTGATTATCATAAATTGCATATTTTCACAAAAGATTGATTATATACACAATTGGTATGGTGCATGCCCGAAGAGGAAAATGAATTTCAAAAGGCATGAAAATATTTTATAAAAGCTGCATCACATACATCACATACATTACATGAATTATACTTACCGAGCATTGTCTTACTCACATTGTTTTCTTATAGTGTAGGAGACGATGAAGACAAATGAAGAGTTACTCGTCAAGACAAACAAGGGACCTACCCTCCTACGTGTTTAGAATAAAGGAGTATGAGAATTTCACTTAGCTTAGCTTAGTTTTTAGTTATGTAAATTTTTGGTATATATGTAAATTAATCAATTATAGTCTTGAAATAAAGAATGATATGGTTAGATTTTATATTTATATGTTATGTTAATCTTGTTAGTTATAGGCCTTGGCTATTTAATATAGCTAGGATGATGTATTTGATTGGCTTTAGAAAGGAAATGAAAATAACATATAATGCAATAAGGAATTAATGACTAAACGAGGAAAGTTAATAAAAAAATAGGAACCATAGTTCCATGATTTGAAAGGCTAAATTATTAGTAAAGGTTTAGATAAAATTAGTAAAGGTATTATAGGATTTAAGGAGAAAAAAAAGTTATACCCAAGTTATGTACAAGTGGACCAAGCATCTCATACTCATTAGGGACCTCGATTGTAGAAATTGCCTATTTTCTAGTAATTAGAGAGAGGTAAAGGAAGGAGGCTTATTGGCTTGCATTCATTGCACTCCAAATATAAGTCAATGCTAGTAATATCCATGACCTATCTAGATCCTAGGTTGGGGGTGTTGCACACGATAAAAGTATTGATTCGAATACTCAGCTTTAGAATAACATCATGTAATTCCAATAGCAAACAAAAGCCAATATTCATAACTTAGATACTCTCGGCTTCATAATAACATCATGTAATTTCAACAACGAAACAAAGCCAATATTTATAACTTAGATACTTAATTGAGTCAAATTGTTACCATCGTAAATAGACTAGAAGCCTAACGTTTAGGCATACTACCTTTTCCAACCTTTGAAAATCAAAGAGCAAATGCAAGTGCCATAACATTGGGAAGTGGAAAAGAGATAGAGGCACAACGAAAGGCTCTTCTAGTAAAAGATTAAAAAGAGCATAGAAAAAGAACTTAAAGTGCTCCTAACGGATCCTAAGGTAAACTCCCCAAGTATTATGAATAAAATTCAGTTAATTCTTTACCTCCTTTTCCAAACAAATTTGCTAAATCAAAAAAGAAAGATAAAGATAAGGAAATATTATAGATATTTAACAAGGTTAAGGTGAACATACCTCTAATTGATGTAATCAAACAAGTGCCAAGATATGCAAAATTCTTGAATGAGTTATGTAATTCCAAAAGGAAGTTGAAGGGGAATGAAAAGGTAAATATGAGAGAAAATATATATGCAATTATTTAAAGAAAAATTCATCTATAGTGCAAAGATCCAGTGTACATTTACAATTCCTTGTGTGACAAGTAACACTAGATTTGAAAAGGCCATGCTAGATTTAGGAGCTTCAATTAATGTCATGCTATATTTCATGTATGTGATTTTGAAATTGGTTAAACTAGCGAGATAGATATGTTGCCTACCTCATAAGGATAGTTAAAGATGTTTTGATGCAAGTCAACAAGTCGGTGTTCCTAGTAGATTTCTATGTTTTGTGGATGGAGGAAGGAAATTCACCAACTTCCACACCCCTTCTATTAGATAAACCTTTCTTGAACACAACACGAATGAAAATAGATATGCATGAAGGAACATGAACAATGGAATTTGATGGTGACACTCTTCGCTTTAATATTTTTGAAGCATTGAGGTATCCTATTCATTATGTGTTATCTATTGATATGATTGATTGCTTGTTAGAAGATTTGTTTCATATAGAGAGTTAGGATAAGTTAGAAGTTGCTATCGGTATGAGTTTAGAACAAAATACCTTATAGACTTCTAACTTTACTTTTGAGGATGAGACAAAAGACATGGTATTGGTCTTGGACTCCTTGTCGCCAATTTTTAATTGGTTAGAAGTTGCTAAAATTTATTTACCTTTATCCCACTTAAAATTATTACCTTCTATTATGCAAACACCAATTATCGAACTCAAACCATTACGAACACATTTAAAGTATGTTTTCTTGGGAGAGGGAAAATACTTTTGATAATCATAGCAAGCAACTTAAC